TGTTGGATATGAAGTGATCATAACCAACTCGCGCTACGCGCTCGTTGGTTATTTATCACTTCATATCCAACGCGGTTTCATGGAATAATTGTTAAATATCCAACAGGTGCCATTGGAATAATTGTTTTATTAGAAAAAGCCCCCAAAATATAGTCAACTAGAATAACAGAAAAATATAAACGCCCCAAAAATTACGTATACGCCTACCCTATTTGTAAATGATGGTATAATGGCTCGTATACCATGAAGGCTAAGCCAATGAAAACTCTTAAATTGTAGGTTTTAATAAAATTTAATTAGCCTGTGAACCACCTTTGTACTGATGGTTTTGTTTGTGACCAGGTATGTACCTCATCTTAGAGGGATTAGCAATATTGTGGAAATAGGTACAATTAATCGATGGTACGAATACAACTGGCACTCACTGGGTAGGTAATGCTTTATGAATGCAGTAATTAAGAAGACAGTAAAACTATATATGTGACTTAGGGAGACCTCTGCTTACAGCTATGTTCCCATCACCTGTTAGTGAAATGGGGAACGAGATTGCTTCTCTTGTTTAATTACTAAACCAGATATAGCTTACAAATGAGTTAATGTTACCTGACAATTCGAATATTAGGAGTTTCAAGTCCAACTTAAATCATCAATACCGTGAAACTGTGTTCATACTAGGCCGATGCATCTTAGTGTAATAGCGCGAATAAGATCTGTTTTATTGTGAAACATGAATTAAGTATATGCTCTATTTATTTATCATATATGAGCGAATCTCGGGGAAAAGTAAATTCCTTTGAGCATTCGTTATATCTATATAGCAACTTGGTCTACTCGAACTGTAAGGCTAAATGTTCATTTGAATGTTTCATTTGAAAAGGAGGCGACATCAAATCATGACGTTATGTCGCGTCTTGGATTTGTCATCTTCGACTAGTGATTTGTTGAGCTTCCTAAAATTCAGAAAACTACAGAAATGACTCAAAAATCAATAAAATAATACCAAAACGTCCACAAGATGCGACAACATCAGTGGGAAATGTAAACGTAATTTTCGAGTACAATGAATTGTCATACCAAATTGTTCACAGATAAAATTCAGGTAAATTTGCAAAGTTTGGCAAATTTTAGGTACATATATTAGGTCTTTTGTCGGGCAAGTTAGAAACAGAGTTTATTTGCGAAAAAAAGTAAAACTGAATTTATTTCAGATAATCTCCTGCGTACAGAGTTTTTCTGCATGCCTCTCCTTCCAAATGAAATACATGGATCTCAAATATATAACTCAAGTTTTCAATCTGTTTTGCCCATCCAACAGATCGAGCTGAAAGAATAACGCGATTTGTATCTAAAAAAATGACCGATTAAAAATTTGAAGAAAGTGACATTTTTGTTTTCCCAACAACTACCAGTCCTTGCTAATTATGGCCTCGTTGACTGAGCAGTTAAACTTTCTTACCGGCGCCTCTCGTGTCCATTGATGCTATCACCTGTTTCACGACAATTCATTTCAAGTAAGAACCAAACCAGTAGTTTGTTGTAGAATACGGCAGCTTGGTACATCGAAAGTTTGGGTTGGTAGAAGCATAAAAACCAAAGTTGTCCTCTGAAGCCACTGCCCCGGAACTTGCGTCCCATCCGCATCCTACAGATGAACTATCATGATGAAGCATCTGGCTATTGTCCTGCCACCATGCCACGTCACAATCAATACAGCTATGCCCTCGAACATTCATGTATTCTACCCTCTTGCATCTATTCAACCCCATAAAATCAATAGGATCGAAATCGGCAATCTTTGCACGGACGTAATCTTTATACACGACCCCATCTGTTTGGAAGCTGCAGGTTACTCTCCAATGTGATGAACGAGAGCGCAATTGCTTTATCTTGGAGAGGGATAGCCTAAACAGATTCCAGTTTGGATTATCTTCATTCGTAGGCCTGTCGACATATAGTGCCGACGATTTAAATACCCCTAATCCTGGTGTTCTCTCGGACATAAAAAGGGTCCATGCTGCTGTGGAGTCGGACGTCAGATCACAATACACTGAAAATGAATGTCCTTCGTTGTCAAAAATTCTGTAATATCCTGAGAATCGTGCACCTGTCCACAAGTGATCAAGGCAACTTCTTGGCTTCTGTGAAGTGAAAGTAACATGCAGATACTTGAAAATGGAAATGACTTTTCAATATAGGATGTCTATTTCCTTTTTCTCATGATGTCGCAAGCACACGGTGACACTGGTAAAGCATGCATTAACCTCTAGCGAACAGTCGACATCTCATTGGTCATTTCATGAAGAAAGTAGGTCCTGTTTGTTAATGGTTATCACTTTAATTTAACACACAACTGGCATTCTCTTTTCATCATATTTGTCGTTGATTTTTGTTTATTCTTTATCAAGCGCGATAATTAAAATTGCAATTGTTCGAACGATAATGTGTGTGATTTGACAGCTGTTCGTGATATTAAATCTTGTATAAACATTTCAGACAAGTCCATGCATTTTTTTTCTTTCAAGCGCTGGCGCTTTTTGTTTTGTAAATTTATTTTATATTTATTCAGTAAAATTATCGCCAGCATGTTTTTTCCTGAGAAGTTAAGAAATATAAATTGCGAAGTTAACTTTATTTTACCACTGCGACTTCTGTAACCGGTTGCCTTGCTTGATTTTCCTTTAAATTAAAAAATGCAAATTGGTAGAAATAAAAAGCGAAAGAAAATGCAAAAATTAGGGAACAGATCGAAAGCTTACCAGATCTTTTCTCATTATTTGTACAAAGACAAAACCATGCATCTTCTTAAGCTTGTCGCGTTCCTCGCTTGAAGTGATGCTCTCATTACTTAGTTCACACAATGCGTTTCGAGCTGCTAAAACTTGGTAATTAAAGGAGGAGCATTTTGGACTCGTTGCGCAAAGATGAGCGCATTGTAGCAAACTCCAACAAGTATGGCGTCCAATCTTTGGGCCTCCCGAGGCATACTGGTTAAGCGTTATGTACGCACCGTTGATGGCGATGTTATTGGGTGGCACCGGATCGACTTCCTGCCCAAAACATCGATTTGACAAGAAAATAATAACAGCAAACGTTTTCACAAGATGTAGGCCGGAGAGCGAAATTGAGAGCATCTTACTTCGGACAGTTGACGTTATTCTTGAATGTAAGGAATGCTCGACTAAATACACAGCAATTATTAAAGCTTGCGCAATTATTGCTTTCTGTTTGCAAATGAAAAAGAAAATCACCATAACACCCTGCGAGCTCCTGATCAAATAAGCGAGATAAATTAAATAAATGTAATACCAAACCCGACGAAGTTCTTTGGTTGTTAGTAACCTCATAGGTTTTGTATTTTTAGTTTGAAAATAAACGCAAAGTCCTGAAACAAAAAGTGTAATTGATAGCAAAGAAATACGGACATTCTGAATGTATATTTTCAATATATACAAAAACGCTTCGTTCTATTTCAATAATGTTAATGTTCGAATTTAATAAACGACTACGCGCCAAACAGAGGGATTCATTATCTGTTTCAAATTTCACATCGCTTGGAAATTGTCAATCAAGTTAATTGCTCACTAAATTGCCTTGCTCTGAGATCATGGATCTAATATCTCACGTGAACCCAGCTTCTATGCGTGGGGGCATAAGTTAACTTATGAAGAAACGCCATTTATTTTAACTTATGAGGTCGAAATTACCATATCTTGACATGCAAAACTCTTGATCAAAACACACTCGAGAATTGTGTGGTACATGTACACGTTCAAGATCCACCTTTTTACTTTTCGTTAATTTTATGTTCGCATGGAAGCGTAAAAATTCCTCTTTTTTTGGCTTGGAACACGCACGCAACAGAAAAGGTCTTGAAATCAGGAGCTTACTAATACAAACGCTACAATTACAACAAAAGAGCGTGAGCGCATGGTTGTGGACCGAGAACTTAATTTATTATTATTATTATTATTATTATTATTATTATTATTATTATTATTATTTTTTATTATTATTATTATCATTATTATTATATTAGTATTTATTTTATTAATTTTTTTTTGCCATGCACTTGACTCACAGGAGTTGCAACACTACTGAATCAATCATCTGCAAATGATCAGTCTGCTCTTGTTCTTGACGCTGTTTACTAATTACAACTGCCATGCAACAGAATAATCCGTGGCTCCACAGAGTATTTTTATTATTATTACTGTTGTTTTTTTAAAAATTAACGCTATAAGCAAACGACGTTTCGACCGTTCGAAGGTCGTTTTCAAGTTCGGTAGAAGAATAAAATTACTTAGCAAATACTTTCGCGCGGAGCGCGCGGTCACATTGTTTGTTGAGTTTCGGCGTTAAAATTCTAATAAAAAGCCTTTCAAAACTCAGACAGTCAAGCTTGCTTTGGAACTTCTTGAGAATTTCAAATTTTTTTTTTGTCACGTCCTCTGGACTCTTTCCGTCTTGTACTTTGAGGTGAACGTCCAATTGCTGACCCTTTGTGTTCTTCTATACGCTTGTGCAAGTGCCGGCAATAATAGGCGACATCACTTTATTTAACTTTTTATCGCCCATTGTTCCATACACATATTTTAGCGTTTTAACCATATATTTATGAATGTAATTTTGTTTTTCTACCAAACTTGAAAACGACCTTGGAACGGTCGAAACGTCGTTTGCTTATAGCGTTAATTTTTATCACAAAATCAATTTCAAAGAATTATTATTTTCATTTTATTTATTTGGTTTTATTTGGTTTTTCTTATGGTGTTCATTATGAAGAACTCTCTTTCTCTCCATCGTCTTCGCTTTTCTTTTATCATGATGTCTGTATTGTTTTCATGATATGGGGTAACTTGGGTGGACATTGCTAGAAAGTATGACTAAACCAAAGCGATGTATATTGACTTTTTATTTTCGTTTTATGTCCATTTAAAACGCTAAAAGTTGTCCCAACTGGTTGGTGGCTGACCAGTTCGCTATTTACAAAGCAATAATGAGCTGAATTTGGAATCACCAAACTCAAATCCATTAATTAAGTGATAGACAGGAGGAGTCGAGTTTGCAAGTCCAGCGCTCTTCTTTTTTTAATTTTTTTCTGCAGTCAGATAATCAGTTACTTGTGTTACTTGAAATGCAAAAAATGGTACCGGTCACCGACTTCGTTTCAGAGAGTGTGTGGAAAACTACCCTGATTTGGAAAAATTTGCCCACGTGATTCAGCATAGTCTACAAGGGTTTATAGTTAAAAACATCGAAGGTGAGTCAATGGAGGCAAACGATCTTAGTCATATTTTGTAGAAGTGGGTCTGTTGCGTAAATAATTCCAAATGTTACCGACGTTTTCACAAAACTTAACCCTGTAAGAGGCATTTGAAACCGCCCCACAGACAAACGAAGAGCTAAAAAGAAGGAATTGGAAGGTGCATTTTGCAAAAAATTCAAACATCTAGTCGATAGATTTTCATTTTTTCGCTAAACGTAGAAAATGACCCATCAAAAGAAAAATAGGGGTCACCGAACGTCCAAGATCGTTAAATCCAGGCAAAGCTATAGCAATGGCCATCTGCCCTATCATTGTTCGTTCTATTACTTAGCGCACGCGCTCATGCATGGCGTGTGAATTTGCGTGCGCAGTAAGGATGCGCAGAAACAATTAGCGCGAACGTCCTTAACCTCGGCGCCTCCACTACTTCTTTTGAGCACAGCCAAAAGAAGTAACATAAGCATTTGCCTTCATATTGTTAAGGTAAAAATAACAGAGTGGTCCGTACTACAAGGGAATTCCGAGAAAAACAGAAAAGCGATAAAATGTAGTTTATAGTCATAATTACTTAAGGGTGTAGCCAGTCTCACAGAGGTTAATTGCGTGGCCAGCTGATTAATCAACAAATCTTAATTAAACCATGGATGAGAATCAAGGTTACAAATTGGCTGAAGGGAATTGCTTCTTATATATCATGATAATCAAAGAAAACATCCTAACGGCATCTCTTAAACACTGATTGAAGAGAATTTTAATATCCATCTTATAATTAATATATGATCCTTCGTGAGAACCACTACCAGAGGCGCTGATTAATTAAAAAAAAAAACAAAACAATCAAGCTGATGTTTTCTAGCGCTGATTAATTTAAAAAAATCATAATGATGTTTTCCGACTTTCAGTTCCAGTCCAAGAGTCATTTTCTAAAATAAGAGTAGAAAATCAGGGCGACCGTACACGAATTGTCACAGCATAAACGATTTGGAGAATGTTTGAATTTCCCAGCAAGCCTTTTTATTTGGAGGCTAGGAATGAATGCCTCTACAGATTCCCTTCATTAAAATAAAGTGTAGCTAGATGCAATCCTTTAAAGGAGGGCCCAAATCATATTTCGAGAACACCAGGCGAGAACTCTTCCCAGCCCGAATTTGTTGGCCACATTTTGGCAAAGGGAAACTACAACGGTATCGTTCAATTAATATTCATTAATTTTATATCAGTGTGTAAACATAGTTTCAACGAAACGATGAAAATATTCTTCTAATTTCTGCAAAAAAAATAAGACGTGCCATTATTTCATTTCGTTTGACAGTATTATAAGAGGCGGCTTGGATGTTTAGCTAGGTTTATTAGAACTTTTAATAACCATCGAATGTCGATTGCCTTCTGAAACATCAGACGTATGCAAATGAATTTCAGTGCTTTAAGTAGTCTTCCAGTGATTCCACATGATTGGCTGTTATCAAGTGGATTTTAAAAACGCAAAATAGGGCATTTACAGCTCAATAGCTCAATCATTTTCAAAACATAACTTCCGCGACGAAGAGGTGCCTTGGTAGAATAACTTACATGACATTATAAACACTGCATTTGCTCTTTTTCTCACGTTTTTTGCTTAAAATGCATAATGGAAGTTCATCAGATAGAGAAAGTCTTAAACCTAACGAGTTTTACAGATTGCGTTGTATTTTTCTTCTTGCCCTTCCAAGGGGCAAGTGCCCCTAAGATATGTGATAGCCCTCGGCGAAACTTATCATTGAAAATAAAATAAATGCACGGATTCAGAGAAGCGTTGGAGTAAAATATAAAATGAGCTGTAAAACCGAAGGTTTCAGCGTTGCAAGGTATTTTCCTTTTCCAAGTAAAAAAGAACAAAATGGCATACACATTTATGGGCGCTATGCAGGCTATAAACACGATAAGTATAGCTATCACGTTTTTCACAACCTTGGCATCTTCTTTCAACCTTCGCGCTGTGATGGACCTTGGCAAAGCTTTGCATCGTGCCATTCCTCGCTTGAGATTCACGATAATAAGAGCATAAAGAACGGTGACGACACACATTGGAACAACAATGAAGACTGCAAGTAAGACCACGTATTGAGTTTCGGCTGACCTTCGTTCATCGAACTTGGGAGCCCAGCTTGGTGAGCAGTACATTTTCTTGTCATCCTCTAGTTTAATTCTAAACGTGTAAAAATAAAAACTGTGCAGGACAATGGATACGATCCATATAGATGGGATGATGCATTTAAAGAGTTTAGTCTTCGCAATCTGTTTTCGTAAAGGGAATACTATACCCCTGTGCCTGTCAACGGCAATGGCCAGGAGACTAAGAATTGACACAGCCGTTGAAACGTCCTGCAAAAAGGAGAGGACTTTGCATAGAGCCAGCCCTAAGAATCCGCCAACAAGCCATCGCCGCGGAGCGACAAGTATCTCTGTTATCTGTCGCGGTACAGCCAGGAGTGTTATCAGAATATCTGCGACCGCCATGTTGACGATTAGGTAGTTGGTGATAGTTTGCATTCGCTGGTTCTTAGTGACAATGACAATCAGCGAAGAGTTTCCCAAAATGGAAAACAACATTAGGAAAATGTAAAATGATATCTTGACTCCTTCGATTATCACCGTATCACCACTGTATGGTTTACAGATGAATTCATTGAGCACGGTAGCATTTGAATGATCCATGGTACAAACCGTCTGACCCCGGCTTTTTGTTTCTCGCTGGTAGCAAAAAAAATAAAATAAAATAAAATAAAATACAACAAACCCACAAAGCGCGCGGCTGTAGTCTATCTTATCGTGTATAACCTTGTCACAGCACTTCCTTTATGGAGCTTGTGTTACTTCAGTGGAAACTTCCTATTTACAGGTGTCCGGTCCGGCGTAGAATTAACTTGTGAATGCCGTGTCACGTTGTGTAGCTATTGCCGTTATACACGCACGTTATCTACAGTGTATATGGATTTCGACTGTCCTTCATACTAGCTAGCATAAACAGTATTAATTAATAAAACATAAAAGAGATAACGTTTGAAAAGCTGACATCTTCGCGGAAAGTTGAAACCATGGGCAGCTTCGTTTTCTCTCAGCACGAGACACCTGTCTATACATGTTCCTTCTTGTATTTACGGACGCTAATTTTGTACGCGTATTCATGCCAACCAACGAGACTTAATTATGTTTGCTCTAAGAAAAGTCACGTTGCCAGTATTTTATTGAATCCTGCAGCTCACTTTCAAGCTCTCTTATTAGTGTAGTATTCAATGCTGGCCAAGACTAACATCCAACCTATATGGGCCCTATAAAAACTGTAAACTCCAAATGAATTGTGTCGAAGTTCATGAGGTTTCAGACGCCGCTCTCGACATAAATTGCTCCCCCTGAAATTGATATTTGTTTTCAGAACGAATGACAAAAATATGCCATTTATCGGCCATACGTCTAGATTATACATGTGCTCATGGTTTAGTTAGTTTTTACCAATCATTTTTCTTTTTAATTGCGATTTTTTCCCCTCATGTCTCGACTGCATTGGTTTATGGCCAAATCTGGCATCTACAATACAATCAAAAACGGCCACAAATCTTTCCCGCACTAGACATAATAGGTTAAGCTCAGAACATCTACACAAGTACAAAGTGAAGAAAAGAAACTCTGTTTCGTGAAGGTTAACTCTCATTATATGAAGTTTTCTGATGATATAATCGATGTTACAGCATATGCTGATGTCAGTCAGTGTTTTCTTTTTTCTCATAATTCCTTCATTTACAACGCTTGCTGCACGTAGATTGCAATCGAACAGTGCAGTCTCGACTCGCCTCTCTTGCCCAATTAAGTATCTAACTCGTTTTCCCACGAAAAAAATTGCGTGTTTCGTTCTATTTAGGCGATGTGAGTTTAACAAAATGGGATAGAAGCCAGTAACTCCAGTCAAAAAAATAATATAAGGTTTGACAACTTGACAGGCGGCCGTCCATCAGACAAAATTAAGGAGTGCAGAAAGCCGTCAGACAATTATATCAGTGTGACTAAATCTTTTGAACGTGTATTTCATATAAGTGTGTTTATTAATTTCTTTTTTTTTTTTTTTTTTTTTTTAACAAAAGGGATTACAAGAAAACAAACCAAAATATGATCATTAAAGACGTTTGTCTCTTAACACTGGGAAATGCGAAAAAATATATGACGAGAAACGATGAATCTGTGAAAAATAAAATAAAATGACATAAAAATTAAGGCTTATTAAAACTTGTTTTATTTACATTGTTAAAACACAGTTAAGCCCTGATGACGAATGATAAAAAGAAAAAAATGACCATTTCTGGTTAATGCAGGTTCTTTCAACTTGCTTGCTTGGTTTATTTGCTTTCCATCGAGACACTGTGATGAAGTACCAAGAGCGATGAAAAAAAAAATAGACTTAAAAATGGCTTACTACAGCTTTGAGTGGGTGAAAGAGCCCGACTTTTAACTTTTAAGTGAAATTTACCACGATCTAATGTATTTTTTGTGGTAAATATATTTCCTCTTTGTGATATATATGCGACATACAAACGTCACAAATAACCCAAATAAACGAATGGCCCTGACTATAAATTTTTGAAATTAAAATTGGCTCTGATTAACATTTATTCATTTCGTCATGGTGATTTTTTTCCTATTTGAAAAATAACGCAGAATCTGTCTTGTCGATTTTTATTTTATTCTGCATGAATAATTTTTTAGTTTATATTTCTAATTTTCAGCTCTGTCTTCCTATTTAAACAATAGAGTGTTTCTGTCGAGGAAATATCGGCTGATAGTTGCCCCGCGGAAATTTGATGTTCTTAAAAAATATATTTGCCCGAGAAACGAAGCTTCGAGGGCTAATATGCTAGTTTTAAGAACGTCAAATCTCCAAGGAGCAACTATCAGACCGATAGCTGCGACACATAAGCACTCTATTGTATTTATTGTTCACCACTAAATTTTCTTCTGTGCGCCAGCTCAAAAATCATATTGAGTAGTTTTCGACTTTTTTAGATGAAAGCCGTGAAAGTCAAATGCAAAATTTGAAAAAGAACACAAACAAAAACCCTCTTAATACAAATTCAATTGTTTATTTTCTATAAGCCCGGCCGCCTGTTTACAGAAATATTTTCACGGTGCGTACTATCCATCGGGTATATTCCTCGGACGGGCACTATGGGCTGATAGTGTCTCTCCACGGATAAACACTATCGCGTTGCGTGATCAATTTAAACCAATAAGAATCGGAGAAAATTTAGTGGTGAACTATAACGACATTTAGTCAGAATTCTACTAGTATACTAATGCAAATACTGTAATCTAATTGGCTAAGCGATTGCACAATATCAGCCATTAGTGTGCAGTGGCTGGAGATCGTCTACGAAATGGCGGTGTTTTTTAACGTTTTCCTAAAGGATTGGAGGAAAAGTTTGCTGCAAATGGATAATTGAATTCCTAAGAAGACTAAACGAAGGACATTTACGGTTTCTTGACTTTAAAGTTGAAATTATAGGGGGGGGGGAAAATGATGCGCGCGTGTACAAAACTTCAATTTTAAATGACAATTCAATCCGAGCGATCTTTTTAAGGCGCAGAGTCTAATAATACGTCGAGAAGTAACTGAAAACCGTTATCTGAAGTAAATTTTAGTAAAAATTCTACTAAAACAAGTCGACCAAAACTTTGTACCGAGATTATTTACATCGTTTCGCAAAGTTCTGTGCAACTGTTTTAGATATCTCCTCGAAAAATATCATTCTTAACAACATCAGATGTCGAAAACAAATTTTGAAGTTCATGTGAAGCCCTTCAAAGTGCTAGTGAAATGAAACTGATGTTGGGGGAAGGGGAGATCAGATTCAGATTTCAGATTCAGATTTTTATTGTTTTGCACTATTTACAAAAATTATAACTTTGACAGTATTTACAGAAATTACATTAATTAAAAAGAGAAAAGAAATATAACAGTGAATAGCCAAAATGAAATGTGCTCAGTGACCAAAGTAGCAAAGGCTTTCGTGTTGGTCACTGACACGTACAAACAATTGAAACGACATATCAATTATGTTAATATCGAAAAAGTACCGTGAAAAGGAAAAAAAATGCGTAAAAGGATGGTAGAACGTAGATAACGTAGGGTCGTCATGTGTAGTAAAAGGATTTTTTGTTTGTGGCCCGCATGCGAGTTAATTAGTTTTATTCGTTGTGCTTTGCGTTACTCGTGATCCGAAGACTCTTTACTGCCTATTATTAGAAATAAAAGCTTGTCCTCTCTGTTCCTCGAAAAAACAATCTGATAATAGTTTCATTCAGTTACGACTTTTTTAGTGGAAAAGGCAATGTCGCACTCACGTAAACATTATCGGACAACAAACTTTGTAATTCGGGTAGTTTTATGGCGTTTTAGATAGAGAAGTCTTTGCAAACATGTTATTAACACAGATGTGCTCTCTGTATCAGCTGTGTTTTGAATGTTCAATAAAGTCTTTGTAGTTTTTTCGTCGCGCGATGGGTTTATTGTTATTTTACTTTATTTTTCGGATATTATTGGAAGTTCCATGCTGTACAAAAAGTGTCAGTGCTGATTAGATCTTCGTACATTTATCTGTCCCGAGAAACGGAGATAATATAGAATGAGAGGCAAGTTAGCCAATCGACCTCAGAGGCCGCCGTCCTGTTATTTAGCGCAGAAAAAAGGCGTCTTAGGTCGGATCCAAATTTTGAGCATGCGCAGAGTGCTCATTTTTTGGTTGGGCTAATCAGTTTTTGTAGAAAGAACTTTGAGTCTGCGCGGAAAGACGAAAACAAATGTTAATCATGGGCTTTAAAATCGCCTGAGGTCTTGATTCAATCACGACCTCCGGGCGGTTGTAAACTCTTACTTATGAAATACATCCGTTTGAGCATCCGAAACTCTCCTTGAGTCAACCAGCAACACAAATTGTTTGATATTGTTTATTTTGTAACTGAGGTCACTGATGTTGCACGTCCGTTCGATTTTGTAACTGATACTAACAATCTTTTCCGGTCAATACTGAAAAAAAATGATTATAATAACAATCACACCGGTGAAGAGCTTGTCATTGAAAACTGAAATACAAACATTAGAGAGTCTACAATGCTTATGAATTGTGAAGTATAATGATCTACGATCCCCAATTCATTAAAGCCGAAGTTTTTTCCTTTTGTTTTGTTCTTTTCTTTCTGTCTTTTTGATAACTCTGGGATACCGCCAAGTCATAACTAGATAGAAAGACTAATTGTTTCAGACTTGAGAATCTTTTAGCTTCATTGTTTCACGTTTGGTCCTGTTTTCCTCCATTATCGCCCTGATTTTGCCGACATGCAAGACCCTCAAAATATCCATTAGACTTCGACGATATCTGTCATGTAGAATGAAATAGATGCATGGGTTCACTGACGCGTTTGAATACAGAATAAAGTGGGCCGCGAAAACAACGTTTTCGATGCCGCAAGGCATTTTCCAATCCCAAACGTAGTAAAACAAAATACCGCAAACATTGACAGGGATTACACACACAACGAGAGCAATAAGTATTGCCATAATGATTCTGACAACTTTGGTGTCTTCTCTTAACCTTCGTGATGTGAGACGACTCGAAGGACCCTTGCTTGCAATTCTGCTCCTCTTGAGATTTAGGATAATGGCAGAATACAATATTATAACTACACATGTCGGAATAGCGATCAAGCAAACCAATAGTATTAGAAAGTAAATTTCTTGTGACTTTGTGTTGTCGAATTTGGGCGCCCAGCTTAGCGCGCAGTACGTTTCTGAATCGTTAATTTCTAAACGAAAAATATAAAAGTACACCAGGTGGAGACCCATCGAAATTATCCATATTAGCGATATGATAATTTTACACAGTTTAGCCGGCTGCATCATGAGTTCTCTACGCAAAGGGAACACAATTCCTCTGTATCTATCGATGGCCATGACCACCAGGCTAAGAATAGATACTCCAGTTGAGATGTCTTGAAAGAAGGACAAGCTTTTGCAGAGAACTGAACCCAACAGCCCAGCAATTAACCATCTCCGAGGTCCAAGCAATATCTCTGTGATCTGCCGCGGCACGGCCAGCACTGTTATTAGTATATCTGAAACCGCCATGTTAGCTATGAGATAATTGGTAATGGTTTGCATTCGCTTGTTTCTCCTAATAACAGCAATGAGTAAAGAGTTTCCAAAGATGGAAAACAGTAGTACCATGCAGTAGCAGAATATTTTCACTCCTTTAGTTGTGTCTGTATCGCTTTGGTATGGTTTACACCTGTATTCCCTGAGTCCCCGAGTAACATTTGTACTACCCATAGTCCAAAACGATTGAGTCGTTGATGACTTTGTAGTGATATCCATTAGCCTTTGAATTAAGTAACAAACTGGGTGACTGTTTATCTTGTCTTCTGCGAACTGGAAATACAGCTTACCGTAGCTTTCAAATGATAGCTATCGTGTCTTAAATATTTAAAAGCAACATCCTAAGTTTACACAGTGCCACCTACTCTCATCTGATTTCCTTTGGCCTTAGTATGGACGAGTATATTTTGAAACTCGACGAAAAATATGGAACCGGTATCTGGGGTGGCCAAATTCTGGATGAAACAACTTTTAATAAGTGCTTTTCTACGTGTCTCCTCGTGAAATCACTTCTCAGCTTTAAATTTATTCATGCATTATCACAAATTGCAAATTTTCATAACAACTAGTCTGTTTACAATTCCCTGCCGCGGACTTCCGATTACCTTATTTTTCCAGCTGACGGAGGAGGTTAATCATGAAATAATTGCGATCCAGCTCCCTGGAACTGAAGAAGTGCACGGATCATGGGTTTAAATGAATTGTCGCTTGTTTCTTCAGAAATGAGTATAATTGATGTGACAGACTCTTTTTTCTAGCTAGATTAATATGTATATCGCTTCATCATCTTCTTGCTTGAACAACAGCCTGGGGTCAAATGATGCAAACATGACAAACAGGTATGCGTTATTATTATTATTTTTTTTTTCCTGTTTTCCTTTTATTCCGAATTTTTTCCATGAGTGTGTTGCCTCCCCTTTGTAACATTTCTTTTCCCCAGGTGCTTGGGTCAGCTCTGCAGGACTCTAGTGTTACCACCAAGAAAGCTTTGTTATCACAAAATTAATTCACTGCACGACGCACTGGTATTCACGTTATCATGTTTTATTTAAATACGTCGTTAAAAAAAAATATATATAATATCAGCTTAAATAAGTTGCTCGAAAAGTCGGCACACAATGGAATAATGACGTTTACGGCACGTTGAAGCTACTGCGGTGAATTGTCATCTCAAAAATGATGGTTGCAAGATTAAGTTGTGCACAAATAGCAGATATAACATTAAAATACCGACCGGAAACATATGTATACCACAACGTTTTCAGTGGCGTTCGCGGGCTCTGATTGGCCTCAGGGTAAACAGAAGCTTCCGAATATTAAAAAAATAACAAACAAACATAAAAACAGATCGGATTACAAAAAAAACTTAGAAAACACAATGTCCATATTATTTGCTAAATTTTAGTCGCATCACGCTCGAAAGCGTCCTTGTTACCAAACTCCTGACCAAACTGCTCTGTTTTCTGAAACCCCCGGGAATTGCTTTTCCCTACAGTAACCTATTAGCGGGAGACAATTGCCTAGTAGAAGTTATCGTTTACATCTTAGCGTGATACAAAAATAATATAACACAGCATGCTGGCCAATTAAATAATATATTCCTATAAATAGTTGATGGAATCACGCTTTTAAACTCAATACAACATACGTAAGTGCGAATCAATAAGCACTTAATGGCTGGCCCCTCAGTGGCATTATCATGAATCTTTGCCAAGTCGAAGAAGGATGTAAGTTGCTCTAGACTCGCGTGACGTCATCGCCGCAATATTGGATGACATTTACAAAAGATTTCTAACTACAATTGTAGCTCCTTTTGTTTGTCATCTAATATCACCGCCAGACCTTTGTATCTCTTCTCTTTGAATCTCTCGGGATTGGTGGCAAGCCATCAATATTTTCTATTTTTTTCCAACATCCTCTTTATCGATATCATCCTTTATCTTCCGTACAAATGAAAGAAAAATCTGTTATCGGATTTGCTACTGAAACGAATCGTTATTACTCCGGGGTTTCAACCCAATGAAATTCATATTTCATCTAATGCAAGTACTGTTCAGTAATTAAAAACTTAAGAAATAACCTAAGCGACTGTCTTTTGAGGTCCAAAAACAAAATGAGGAGCCCTCAAGAAAAAACTTTGTAAAACTCAAGTCATATCTAATGGAGCAAAACCTCAGAAGTGTAAGCAATATTTTTTTTTTATTAATTTTAAATATGACAACGTGAGATGAAAACCGGCAATGGCGTTTCAAAGTCACTAATCGCGTACGTTCTTTTAAAAAAATGTTTATGTGGATTCCCTGGCAATATCTAATTCAAAATAAAACTGCAAAAGCAATCTTTATTAAAATCCACAGTTTTTATAAAGTAATAGACTCCTGCCAAAGTATGTAGAACCATGCCAAGTATTTTAACCTTGTGACTGCCAACGGCGCATATATACGTCCTGAGTGGTCGTGCTCTTTGTACCGCTTGTGACGTCATCAATTTAAATGTAAGAAGATATTCTTGATAAGCAGACAGTAGAGCTAAAATAGATCTATCCACACACAGGTTGTTTTGGATATCGACGGCATTCTGACGTAGCAAATTGAAAAACAACGTTATCAGTTTTGGTGCAAAAATGGTCGTACAGTGGCCCATTATACCTGTAATTGATCAAGGTCCCATTTCCAGGCTTTGCCCATAATTAACACCCAACTTTTTACGGCAGCCAGAAAGAATATGAAACGCTAAAAGTGACGAGAGTAAAAGGGCCGAAAAAAAGGAAAGGAAAGGGACAGAAAACAATTTTAAACGGCCAATGGCGAAAAAAAAAGTTTGGCTTACCGCGTGCGTCAAATTGAAATATATATGGGTTATTGACCAAGCTTGTTCGGTCAAGATATATGGCTGGATATTGGTCAAGTTCTTTCTTTGTGAATTTATGGACCGAGACGGAGTCGAGGTCCATAAACTAGCAAAAAAAGAACGAGGCCAATATCCAGCCATCTTGACCGAACAAGCTTGGTCAATAAAGGATTTATTATAAGGCTTTCGGGGAAATTTTTCTTGGGGGCACGGCGGGTAGTCCCAAGCGGGCAAGATAGCTCCATCCTGCCCGCTCGGGTAGCCAATCACAGCTCAGGATTTGATTCATCTTGCCCGCTCACGGAGCTAGCCATATAATAATGTACATTTTTGTACCTAATCTTAGTGAAATCTATCTTTTTGGTAAAAAAAAAAAATAGCTTTCTCAACAAAACTAAGGCCCATTTAGCGTCATGGCAGCCAAAAAACTGATTTAAGGTAATTCCCTTGAAATGTGTTCTACTATGAAACTTTTTGTTTGAAACTTGGCATAATTAACATTCATGATATGAACATTTAAAAAATGCAATAAAAAATGGGGTCACCGTGCTTGTTTACGTGTCAGCAGGCTCTTAAAATGGGGTATTTTT